GAGGAGAATGTAATTCTCTGTGGCATCCGTGGTCTAAGCTAAGCTGTTGGGCTCACTATGAAAGGTCGTGGGTTCAAGAACCCAGTCATGGGCCCGGCGTGAATCCCCGAGAAAGGCACTTGAATTTCTTTCATTTTAAATGATTTTATGCCCATAGTTGGAATCGGTACCTGTCCATAGAGAACTCAGTTTGTTCGAGCAGGTCTAGTTCGGTTACTCGCACTCATGCATGCTTCCCGGGAAGATGAGAATTTAATGTTTCTGATAATCTTAGTGTGGTCTGCTGAGGTAGAATCTAATAAAATACAAGGCGGGCGCCCTTTTTTTAAATTTTAGTGAAAACGGGGGGTATTAAGAAGTAGTTTTTGAGGAGGCCTGCCCTGGAACATAATAATATAATAGATTACTGATTACATAGGGCCTATATCTTTCTTATCTGTTGAGTGTCGTTGTACGATGTATTTAATAACCTTTTAATTATGTTGATTTAAAACTAACAGGAAGAATTTGTTTCCTTTTCGTTTTTCGAGCCTCTATGATATCAATTTGGAAGGAAAAGAAATCAAATGAGGTCGTAGACGATCTGTGCTTGATGAAGCCCACGTGGGACGCTCAATGTTAAAAACAATCAGGAAACGACAAATTATGCAGTTTTTGGGACACCTAAATAGACATACGGGTCTTGAACATCTAGCTCTCCCTGGCAAAACTGAGGGCAAGCGAGGCAGCGGTAGGCCCAGAACAACATACATGTACTTAGGGAACCTAAACAAATGGGTAACAGGGAAAGATCAGGGAAAAGCACAGAATTCTACACTTATAGAAGCGGAACTCCCTCTTCGCGATCGCCGATTCGCTGTGAGGAATTGAAACTAAAACATGGCGGCCAGTTGAGGGCACCTTTGGCTGCAGTCACAACAGAAAGAGTTCCATGGCGAGTGATCACTGGTCAAGGATTTCAGAGCTGTGTGCATTTTGAGAAAAATGTATCCCCATACTCTGGATCACATGTCGAGGGGATGGGCTTGTCCCCCTGTAATCCCCGCACACAGTAAACAAACACATATTTTGGAACACGAACAAGAAAAAATAAGTGGTCTATTGTTACGGATCAAATTGAAGTCTTGTTACAATTCGATCAATTGATAAAAGTGCGTATCGCAATGCGTTGGACACCCCTGCCCTATAGGCCTATATGCTATTTAATAAATACATTCGTCAGACCTGGAATCTTTAATGCCCGCACACAGTAAACAAACACACATTTTTGAACACGTATAAGAAAAAATAAGTGTTGTCTTGTTACGGATCAAATCGAAGTCCTGTTACAAATCAATTAATTGATAAAAGCAAGTATCGCAAGGCATCGGCTAACCCAGCACTATTACGCTATTTTATAAATACATTCGTCAGATCTGGAATCTTTAATCTTTAATTTTTAATCCCCGCACACAGTAAACAAACACACATTCATGAACACGTATAAAAAATAAGTGGCCTCTTGTTACGGATCAAATTGAAGTCTTGTTACAATACGATCAATTGATAAAAGTGCGTATCGCAATGCGTTGGCCACCCCTGCCCTATAGGCCTATATGCTATTTAATAAATACATTCGTCAGACCTGGAATCTTTAATGCCCGCACACAGTAAACAAACACACATTTTTGAACACGTATAAGAAAAAATAAGTGTTGTCTTGTTACGGATCAAATCGAAGTCCTGTTACAAATCAATTAATTGATAAAAGCAAGTATCGCAAGGCATCGGCTAACCCAGCACTATTACGCTATTTTATAAATACATTCGTCAGATCTGGAATCTTTAATCTTTAATTTTTAATCCCCGCACACAGTAAACAAACACACATTCATGAACACGTATAAAAAATAAGTGGCCTCTTGTTACGGATCAAATTGAAGTCTTGTTACAATACGATCAATTGATAAAAGTGCGTATCGCAATGCGTTGGCCACCCCTGCCCTATAGGCCTATATGCTATTTAATAAATACATTCGTCAGACCTGGAATCTTTAATGCCCGCACACAGTAAACAAACACACATTTTTAAACACGTATAAGAACAAATAAGTGTTGTCTTGTTACGGATCAAATCGAAGTCCTGTTACAAATCAATTAATTGATAAAAGCAAGTATCGCAAGGCATCGGCTAACCCAGCACTATTACGCTATTTTATAAATACATTCGTCAGATCTGGAATCTTTAATCTTTAATTTTTAATCCCCGCACACAGTAAACAAACACACATTCATGAACACGTATAAAAAAATAAGTGGTCTCTTGTTACGGATCAAATTGAAGTCTTGTTACAATTCGATCAATTGATAATAGTGCGCATTGCAATGCATTGGCTAACTCAGCATTATACGCTATTTAATAATACATTCGTCAGATTTGGAATCTTAAATTATAATCATAATTATATGTGCCGCGCGTGGGAAGTGAAAGTGAAAGGAATTGAAAATGCTTTCAAAAACAAAAACATAATTAAAGTAGGACTACATGTGCTTATAAAGGCTCAAAAAGGTGTATGGATGCGGAAATTAATGTTTCGGATGAAAATAATACGCTATCTTCACTACTGTAGCATGCGGTCAAAAATTTGATGCGCAACTTATTATCAAATATCTAGGCTACTGAACTATCAAACACCTAGATCTAGATTCTCCTACTTTTACACAATGACTTAGATCTATATCAATTCGTCTTAACCGATGAGTATTTTTTTCAAACATTTGTACACATCTATAGGTTCTATATTATTCTAGAAATTTCTTTAAAGAAAATTCTTTAATAAATACTAGCCCAATATATAAAAAAAAAATCCCAGTCAATGGTTTCTACAGATTTTTAAAAAGTTTATAGCTGGAGCTAAATCTCTTTTAAAAGCAAGTCCGTCCTTTTTTCTACTTCTGCTGGCGACATAAAGTTAATTATTGAACGCATGTTTTGAGAACATTAATAAGATCTAGTGAAAAAATATGTTCAGTGTAAAACAAATTTCTTGTAATAAGTTTTACTACTAAAAAACTACGTAGGCCATATGCGTATGCAAAATGTGTGTGGGAAGCTAGAAGTGCTATGAATTTTTTTCAGTTCTGTAGATCTTATATATATCTATATAAACTCTGTATGTCTGCTTTTTCTGTTGTTGCACTTCAAAACACAACAATTTAAAACCTTAATTCCAATCTCTAGTTGCACAGTGAATTCTGTAACTCAAAATTACAAACTGGACAGTAAATGTTCCACTTTTCACTCGTTTGTAAAAGCCGCTCTTGCTTTAAAAGCTATAGGGTTACTTCCGAAAACGATAAATAGTGCCCTCACGACGCCATTGTTTTCGGTCTTCAATTCCTCACAGGTCACGTGGTACAGTTCCCGTTCTATAAGTGTAGAATTCTGTGGGGAAAAGTAGCTTTTTTTAGAGCATCCGAGCAAAGAAATGAATGGAAAACCATGATCGCCGATGTATGTCGCAGATCTGGCACTGGATGATGATGATGATAACAATTTAAGGAAAAACCATATCATTCTTTTAGGCGAAAGGGTAGGCCTATTTTTCTGCTGTATTGAGTGTATTGAAGACGCACAATTTAATTTGGCCAATGATTTGGCCGAGTTGTTGCAGAGAGTACATGTATTTATAAAGTCTCTGGTTGTTGTCATGCAACATGCCCGTGATTTGCCTGTTGGCATTCCAATTATTGCCGAAATAGGCCTGTTCTATTGATACCTTCAGTCAGTATAAATCTTATACGACCAAGATTCGGAGCCGGTAGTGTTGTATGTAAACCGTGCGTAGGGTTAAGACTAATTTGTTTTGGTCTTTGTTGATTGTTACCATTTAATTTAGGGATAAAAAATATCAGTGCAAACGTGCGCACGAGAATGTGAACCGACTGGCTACTGTTACACACTGTCACTGTTGTAGGCCTTGGCCTCTCTCTCTCTCTCTCTCTCTCTCTCTCTCTCTCTCTCTCTCTCTCTCTCTCTCTCCCTCTCCCTCTCTCTCTCTCTCTCTCTCTCTCTCTCTCTCTCTCTCTCTCCTTTACCATCACTCTCTCTTTTTTTCTCTCTTCTCTCTCTCACTCCCTCCCTCCTCCACTCTCTCTCTCTCTCTCTCTCTCTCTCTCTCTCTCTCCTTTACCCTCACTATCTCTTTTTCTCTCTCTTCTCTCTCTCACTCCCTCCCTCCTCCACTCTCTCTCTCTCTCTCTCTCTCTCTCTCTCTCTCTCTCTCTCTCTCTCTCTCTCTCTCTCTCTCTCTCTCATGTATCATATAGGCCCTATTTAAGCTCTGAAAATACGCACAGCACATCATAGAAAATTTGAAAGAAGTAAAACTGATGTGGCACGGGGAAAACAGCATTAACTGTACTGCCTTGGAACAGAAACAGAAAGTTAATTAAATGTTGCTGGAGTTTGGGGTCGATCACAGTCGAATTTTACACTTTTTAATAGAATTCTGTGGAGTCGATCTTCCTTTTGTTTTGCTAAAAATACAAATTATGGCTGGTGAACTCACTTAGAACTGGCAATCTCATCACATTGGTCGTTCATATTGTGGTAGATCTAGGCCTACTGTATCAACTATCAACTCAACTATCAACAGCTTGGTCCGTTGCCAACAGTGGGCTAGGGTCTTGCTAGAAGTGTACTTTTTTTTCAACGGATCAACTTTGGCAGTCAAAGCTGTTGGTCTTCAACATCTGTCCTGTCATCGATCATGGTTGTCAAAGTCCACGTCGTTTACTGGCAAGTAAACAAAACGGAGTGGAGCCACTCGACTGTTTTAAAATTGAAATAATCTAGAATCTATGATCCATCGAAAAATCCACAAACTGATCCAGTGATTAGCAAGCTTTGCCTTGATTGATCCTTGTAATTCCTAAAGTCATGACTTGACTCTTTGAGTCTGAGGACTCTCATTCTCTGTTTTCATCAGTTGGCCTATTGCGACGTTGAAATCAACCAATTCTAGTCAATGACTCAGCAGCTTTTCATAATCACGTTGGGCCTACAAACATCTTTGCCGGGTGGTGGTGGCCTATATTTTATAAAAGGCTTGGAATTTGAATGCTCAGTTCAGTGTTGCTAAGCCATAGGTGCCCGTTCAGTTACGATCTAATCTAGAGATCTAGGCCCTATTTCTTGAATTTATTGGACAGCCTACCTGTTCGCCTTTGGTCTGAAATCATGGTTGTGAGAGTACATATTGTATATTGGTAAGTGTTTAATCTTGTCAAGTCTTTTGATTTTGTGAAAGTTTTGCTGCACTTGGCAGTAGAAGAGATCTAATAGATCTAGATCTAGATTCTAGATCTAATCTGGTCAACACACGACTCAAGTCCGAATAACATTTTTTCATATTCGGACTCGAGTCCGAATAATCACTTCGTTCACAATATAATATATGTTTTGGACTCTAAGAACTGTCAGAGGGGGAACTTGGACAAAGTTGAATTTTGCCTTCTTAACTAGAATCTAGATCTAGATTCTAGATCTAGATCTAGTAAAGTTTTTAGTTACAGACAGAGGTTTTACGGCGCTCGCAACTGCATGGTAATGAATGTCATATATGATCGCCAAGGGGTGGATGTCAACAGAGAAGTCCTTAGGGAATCAGGCTTACTCTGCTAACCTTTCTAGCTTCAACAGCACAAAGTTGAATCTACTTCGACTATCAAGGTTCCCTGGAAATAGCGGGTCACAAGAGTGTGACAAACTTACAAAAAAAGTAGAGAGGAAAAATGACGATAGTTAGGATTAGGAAAGAAAAAGTAGCAGTTCCCCGTTTCAGTTCAGGCACAAAATTATGAGCATGACATTGATGAATCAGCCCATTTACTACAATTCTACTGTAAGAACATGGTTCATGTCCCCCCTTTGGGAATGGCCTAAAGACACTATTATTAGTCAGTAGCACCGCCCCAGGGGGTATTAAAGACTTGACAGGCACTATTTCTCCGAACGTTCGGGAAAATAAAGCTGGGCACTATTTCTCCGAATGTTCGGGAAAATAAAGCTAGGCACTATTTCTCCGAACGTTCGGGAAAATAAAGGTGGGCACTATTTCTCCGAACACTCTGAAATCACATCCTTTCCCGCAAATTTCAGATATTATATAGAGTAGGCCTACCAAAGATTGTTCATAATATGATTCAATCGGTCCAAAAAATATCCGCAGTAAATATTTATAGAAATGCTACAGTTCCAAAAAGTTTTTCGATGACGTGTTGCCTATGAAGGGTGCTGCTTTTAAACTTAATTAATGTGTTGTGTTCACTCGTGTGCTATCTAGATCTAGGGAGGGTTATTGATTTATAACGACACATAGAACTAGCTTCTGCGTTCGTCGCGGCCGCGACCAATCAGTCGTGGCTCGATTTTTTTGGCATTTTTTGGTCGGGGAATAAAAGTCAAATTTAAAAAAAAAAAGAAAGAAACCGAACCTCTTTACTTTTGAAAGAAAGTTCACTTAGCTTGACTTAAGTCTCTTTCTCACTTGTTGTCACCACGTTGATTTGTCGGAATACGTTACAGTTACTTTTATTTTTCCCTCTTTGACTCTTTGTGGTGTTTTATTTTGTTAATATGTAATTTTTGTTCTTGTTATTGTTCTGATGTGCGGTTTTTCTATCAATTTTTTTTGTTGGGGAAAGGGGGGGGGGGGGGGGAGATGTTGCATAGTGTAACGTCATTTAATTTGATGTTCCTACCTTCATTAGATTCTAAATATATACATGCATGTATATATATAGATTTAAATGTTTTATGTTAGAGTGTACGTTCCACCAAAACCGATTACATGTACTGACACTGGCAGGCCCCTGAATGTGTGTGATTCCATAATTTACATGTAATATCCTGTACTTTTTTTTTAAAATTTACGCCCTTTTAGGGTTAAAACAGGCGATTTTCTTCGGACAGGTTGACACATACACGTACCCTTATTTGTTAATTTGTGTGGTTGTTTATGGGCTGTTCGACTAATTTTGATTTAAAATTCTGTTGTGAAACCTTTCTTTTTCACGTTTTTACACTCATCGAAAAATGTCTAGACTAGCTCTTGAATATTGAAATAGATAGAGACCCAAAAATTTGCTCCTGTGTGTGTGTGTGTTTATGCATGTGTGTGTGTGAGTGTGTCTGTGTGTGGTAGTAAGTGTGTAAATGGAGAGTGAGGAGTGTGTGTGTGTGTGTGTTTTTCGGGCTTTATTCAGTAACAGTTCAAAGTATAACAAAAATAGAAACACAGGATCCATTCACTCCAGTGCTCATGAGTAGTTCCTCTCTTTCAGTTTCACTCATTCATTCAATTCCCGTGTTCTCTCCCGCGGCTCATCCACAACTCAGCTCGTCACGTTTAAAAGTTGCCCACTGATCATGTTTAGTTAGTGTGTGTATAAGTTTGTGTGTGTACATGATGGTGGTGGGTGTGTGGTAGGGCACTGTGTGGTGGGTGTTACTGAAGGTTGTATGTAGGCGGGCTTGCCGTGCGGTGTTCCTTCCCAGACCAGAGGCAGAATGAAAATTGGCGCCGAACTCTCGCAATAAATAGGCAAAAAATCACGAGACCGGAAGCCGGAAACAGTAAGGAGAAATAAAGATCGGCACTATTTCTCCAAACGTTCGGAGAAATAGTCACTTCGTAAAGACTTAGGCCTAAACCTTTTGTGCTGAAAATTGTGTGCATACAGTTTTCAGTGAAAAGTTAGGCCTAAAGGTATGTCTACACAACAGTTGTCCAGTAGTTTGAGGTCTGATTGAATGTTTTGAGACTCTTGTTTTAATATCACCACTTATAATTGTGTGAGTAGTGAGGTTGGATAAAGTAAAGATACTCAGGTATTGTCACATTGTGAGTTGTGTACAGTAGAACCCTGTTTATAACGAGAGAGAGGGGACTGGAGCAAAATATCCGTTATTGTAACTTATAGAACAGGATTCTCGTTATAAGGGATCCAGTAATAAATTCATGGGAAATTATAGAGCAGGCCTATATAATTATGAGTTTGATGTTCTGTTTATTTCTTTTTGGTATCTCCCCTCATGATGATTTTGTTCAACATGATCTCTAGAGTTTTCACCTTGATCAAGTATTGAATCAGGTTTCTTTCTCTAACGTTAGCGAGGTTGACAGCTCGGCGTTGGCGATCAGAAAGAAAGGGCTCTATTCTAAGTCGTCCACTGTGTTGTCCCCCACCCCACCACACCCTGTGTGCATTCCATCTGCTTGACCACATCACACATTCGCTCTATCCATCACAGCACTGTGACCTCTCCATCCCGGCATCGGAGAAGTGAAAGTGAGAGGCATTGTAGGCCTAGATAATTTAGACTAGGCTGGCCTATCACGAGATGCATTCTGCTTGTCTGCGCATGCCACACCCTCCCCACTCATTCGCTCCGGCCTTTATTGTTGGCACACATTGTGGCTCTCTCATTCTTTGTTTGGCTAGATCACCAACAAGTTTCTAAACTGGCGAGGTTTTACCTGTAGAACTGGCCTAGATGCGCTGTGTGTGCACAGCAGCAGCGATATTCCTCTGTAACCGACTTGTGTGTTTATCTGATTATGCTAAAAGAGTATTTTATTTACAAAGATAAAGAAGGGAGAAAAAAACCCGGGGTTTTAGAATAATATGTTTATAACAGACTTCTCGTTATTTCAACTGTATAACATTTTTCTTGGGAGAAATTCCGTAGACGACTACTATGAAACAGAGTACAATAGAGGGTTAGGGGTTGGGTCAGAGTTAGGGTTTGGACTCTTCTGTATTGTGTTTGTTGGGGTGGTCACTCGTTACGAGAGTCCTTCCCTTTCTTTTCATCTTATTGTTTTACACAAATTTCAACTTTATTTGTCTTAAATTTAAATTACAAGGTTTTGAAATATTTCATTGTTTTTGTTGTAACTCTATTACTTGCCCATATTTACACGGAGTCTAATTAAACCGGGGGTGGTTTCAGGGATTGCATGCTCCCGACTTCTCCTTGTTTGGTATTACTGCACAAGGCAAGGCTTGTGTGAAAATTAAATGTTTACGGCAGAAGTTTTAGCCAAAATCAAACTATGCTGCATGATTTGTGATTTCAAAGTAATTTGTATCTGACCATTCATAGAATTATTTCATGATGCGGTGAAATCGGGCACTCATCAATTTTTAGGTAAGAAGAGTTCTTCGTATCATTTCAAAGCTGAATTGTCTTGCTTTTGATGAAAAAAATATCCATCTATATTGGGTAGAAGGGGAGATATTTTCTATGGAAAGAGATGTGGGTTGCCTTTTTTCAGAGGTAAAATAGTGAGAAAATGGCCACCAAAGTTTGGTGACTTTCACAGCTTGAGAGTTCTTGCCATTCTTGGAAACTGAAAATGTATGCTTGTGTGTGTGCCTGATGAAAGGGACTGTGAAATACGTATTTGGAATGAGATACAGGACAATTAGTTTCAGTAAAGGTAAATTCGGAGTTCCATTCTAAAATCATTTTTTGTCCATTTATCTACCATTGATTACATGGTTTTCTGTTACTTTATATGCCAAAAAGTGTATTTTGAATTTTATATATATATACAGTCGAACCTGCCTTAACGGAAACCTGTGTAAAACGGAAACTTGTCTTAACGGAATCTCCATGCTCCCCCCTTGATATATTCCTCTTTAATTACCTGTATAAAACGGAAACCTGTCCAACGCGGAAACGGAAAGAAAAATCCGCTCCCTTCCGAGGGTTTCACCTGTCTAAGACGGAAAATGCTTTGCCCGCTGAGCCCTGATTTGAAACAAAACTCGCAAGTTTGATTCCGCCGGCTCTAAACTTAATGCCATGGCCATGCTGCTGGGCGAGGAAGGGGAGTAGGGGTGCAATGGGGATAGAGTAGAAGTTACCCTATGTTACCCCATCATGTGAGCACTGAGGGCTACAGATGGTCAGTGTAGTGTGGGTGTGATATCTCACGACTGCCCGTGAGAGTGCTCGAGTAGCCAGCCACTACGGAAACTTTCCTGGGTAGCCAGAAGCCAGAGGTGTGAAATTAGATTGACCAATGCCTGCTGCCCTGATCGTACGGCCTGCTGAGAAAGGAGTTCCTCGAATCGTTGTTACAATGATGACAGTGAGGGGTGGCATTGGTGGGTGGGACTAAGGGTGGAAGCAAAGGAGGTGTTCAAACGTTTCTGTTTTAATAGGTCAAACAGTGGTCCTATGAAAGGCAAGCACTGGTGGTAATTGGATGAGTAAGACTGACGCATGTCACTATCAGACAGGATAGCAGCTGAGAGGTGTGAAGTTTTGACTGCTTGCCGATCGGACAAGTGATCCTTGATCTCACCGGCTGGGCCTTTGATATATATATATGTTTTTTGTCACAAGTCATCTTACATAATAACAGATTACGTGGGAATATTTGCTGTCACTGTCTACATCGGTGGAAGTTTTCTACAACTCATTCATGAAAACAAACCCCATTAAATTGCATAAAAATTTAGGTCAGCTTGTTACTTAACTTGATCTGGAAGGTCCGCATGAGTGTAACAAAACAGTAAAGGATAGCAGGCTTTGCACATTTGTACTTTATAGAATTCCACTTCATGAGCAAAGCAAAAACACTCTTCAAAATTTTTAGTATTGTCATTTAGGACAATTTCTACGACTCATTCATAAAAATCAACCCCCTTCACATTAAAATTTTGGTCAGCTTGTATTCTTTCTTGTGCTGTGCAGTGGGCATAAATACAATGATATAGTGAATGAAGGGAGGCTCTGGGCATACACATATACCCTTCCACACTTCGTGAGCAAAACAAAGTCATTTTGAAAAATTTCTAAATCTGCTTTACCATGAATTTGCTTTAAAACGTTTTAATGACACTTTGAAACTGTACAGTGGTCTTAAACTGCTTATTTTTAAAGTTGCCCTTTCAATTGCAATGGTGTTGTCAAGGGTTTTGGAGACAAACGATAAGGCCGGCTGATCGATGGATATTTGTTTGGAATAGAACTCGATCCAGGTCTAAGGTAAACTTAAAAGCCATTATTCTCAAAACTTTGTTTCTGCACCCTACCGGATAAAATTAACCAGATCTCACAAAGTACTGAAGATATCTTAAAAATTTAAAAAGCAAGTTGTCCAGAAATTATTTTTGTACTAAAAAATGCAATAAAATGTACTTCCTCAAAATGGGCATTACGGTATCTGTCACCAGGCACACACATATTTTGTGCCTTTAATCGTTTTTTAGAAGAATCTACACAGAAATGTGTTTTTAAATGGACAGAAAAGGTGTTTAGCCGAAGAACAAATTTGAAAAAAATTGCCTTTCATCCTTTCCATCCTCTCTTCAAGAGAAAAGAATAAATATTTTAATGGGCCATAAGGCTGTCCTAAGCTTATGACTGCCTCCATTTGGGATTTCAGAAGGAAATGGTTTGTTTTCTTCATTTTCATCAGTCATGCCCAAGACGTCCACTATCCACCTAAGACGACCACTTTTCTCCTCGACAATGGGTGATCACCTTGCACAGTTGTGACTATATATATACATGGATACAATTATATATTTACTCATCATGTATGTTCATATTATGGAGGACTTTGTCCAGCTAAAAGGCAACATGCATTTTTTTGGAATGTGCAGGAGAGGCAAGCAACTCCGTGAAATTTGTCCCAGTAGCCTGCAGAAATGTTTCTTGTGAGGCCTGTATGTGCAAATCTACCTTTAAATGGTAATTTTCTCTTGTTGTGCAATCTTTTTTTATGAACTGCTCCGTTGAAAACTAATGCATTGTTTTTGTTTTTATCTTTTCAGTGGTGCCTGAGGGTACAAACCCAGGGTATGTAATAATATTAAGCAATAATCGCATTATTTCTCATTGCGTGTCGTGTAGTATGATGATCTCTGACTGAAACGGAAGAAAGATCATAGATGTGTTACTTGAGCTTGTAGTCTTGTTGTCTAGGACTAAGATGGAGGAACATGTTAGCTCATGTTATAGTTCTGTATTCTTTGACAAAGGCAGGATAGAGGAAGGACATAAATCTATTTAGTCGGGATGTTTGGAACAAAGATCGAGAAGAGATATGTTGTTTCATGTAGCTAGTAGTTTGTTGGTCTTAAACGAGTTTGGAAGAAGGATGTTAGTATTGTTAGATGTTGGAGAAAGTAACAGTGAAATAAGGATGGAGATGTTCTGAAAAGTTGGAATATATGGGGGGGGGGGCTTTCAACAGTGCTGATCTGGTATTGTGGAACTGGTCAGATGGAAAGAAAGGTTTTGGTGCTGTGTGTGGGAGAAATTATATTGGATTAAAGGAAAGATGTTTAGTTCAGTTTAAGAGTTTTACATCACTTACTTGCAACACAATAAGGTCATAAGTGCTGAAGATTAGTGGTGTTACAAGAGAGTAACAAACACAAAGCAGAAGGAGGCGAGATAAGAGCAATAGATATTTGATAGGAAAGAGGAAGCAAACCATACCAAAGCACCTGCAAACAACCTGTAAAGGAAAGATGTGAATTGAGATAGGAACAGATGATATTTCTTGGTGGTTTTGGATCGGGAGAGCCAGTGATGAGGAATGAAGCTGGGAGGATTGTTTGTTGCTATTGACCAGGATCAATGTCGCTCTTTTAATTTTGTTCTTTTGTTAGAATTAGGGCTAAACTTGATTTCTCTAGAGAAGTAAATGTTTATTTTTGTGTCATAAATTATGGGTCTATATCACAGACTAATTTAAATAGTTTTTTAATGTGATTATTTAAATGTCATATTTTGAAGATTTGTTAATTGTTAAATCTGTTTTCTGAAATTGTTGAGCTGTTATATATAGTCAGACTAAATTACAAGATTTTTTATGTTCAACTTTTGGTTTAAAATTATGTGATGTCTATATTAATCAGTCCCGGTTTTAAAATGCTGTTCTTGAAAGTTGTATTTTTTTTTCTCCTCAGTATAATGCTTTGCGGGAACAACTCTATGATGAGTTTACCCGCGACCAGATTGAAGTTGTGAGTAATTCATTAAAGTGCATTCCAGAGATACATTTATGTGACAGGTTTTGCAAACCGTAACATTTTATGAATAATACAAAGATTATGTTCATAGCATTATTAATGTACCACACACATAGACTACTAACAGTACAGTGCTCAGCCATTTCAGAACTACTGACTCTGGGGAAAAGTTAAAAGTTTAATCCCATGTTGGTAGACAGTCAAAGTTCTTTACGTTTGGGACGAGCAGACTGGTTATTTTAACACATTACACCCTAAGGGCCTGGACGGGAAGTCCATTCCTAGATCCTAAGCAAGGGGAAGGAACCCACCTCCCGTGAATACAAGCGTTTAAAAACACATTTTAAAAACACTAAACAAATTTTTTAAATCCTGAAAAAAATAAAAGTTAAAAAGAAAAATGAATGTAGTTTCAGAAAAATAAAACTTTATGTATGCGTAAACTGTTGGAAATATTCTAACTTTAGTTCAATTTGGGTGTCCGACCCGTCACTCTCACTCTCAGCCTCGCGGTCGGGCCCTAGATCTAAATTCTAGATTTTCTACATCTGATCAATCTGAATCGCCCCGAACTCTTGCGACATTTTCATCAAAATCTGAGTCATCTGATTTGTCACATGCTTGTTTTTGCTCAAATCCATCGTTATTTCCTTTTTCGAACTCAATTGTGTTGCTTTTCAACAAGTGGAGACACCTTCGAAGTGTCGATAACGCGATCGCACATCTATCGGCTCTTATACTAAAACTACTGCCCCGAAAAATTTAGATTCGGTATCAAAAGAAAGAAGAAACTTTTTGCAATAACTATGCAAATCAAAATCTCGGTCCCAGAGTCTCGTCAAGGCGAGACTTCGTTTCTAAAGACGCTAGGTGGACGCGGGCCGTTCTGGGCAAGTTAGGGTGGAGCGCGTAAAGAAATTCGCGGGCGATCACGGGCGAGTTAGGGTGTAATGTGTTACATCTTCAGTATATCATATGAAGCTACCAGCCCTTGTAGACTGAATCTGAAGTTGTAGAAACGGCTGCTTTATTATTCCTGTTCGCATAAGAAGGATAGGTTGATAAAATGTAACTACTACCGAATTGAAATGATTTATTCATTGTGAAGAGTTGGTTTTTGTCCTTTAAACAGATCTGAAACAGACCTGATTGTCCTTCAGAATATTTTTAAAAAATTCTCTACCGACTTTCTGGTGTTTTGTCCGCCACAGGGGGAAAGAGGTGAATATGTGTTTTAGTCCAGTTTTCTTTTGTTGTAGTTTGTTCTTTGCAGAATATGGCCATTGTCATGCTGACTCACTATACATAACAATATTACTTTCATGCTTTTTTACTAGTTGGGCAAGCTGATGTTGACAAAGTTGTTTTTTTTATATTTTTAGTAAGTTTTAACAGATTGGATGACTGATCAGAGTTTCTGTGGAAAATTGTTCACTTAGTCTTAATTGTGTTCTGTTGAAGCTGCTCTGTGAGTTTTTTACAGTCTTCATGTTTCAACTTCCGTAACAGGGTGGGGGGAGAGCACAGGCTGAGATCGTGTGAACTGAAGTATATAGGGCAAAATTGTTAACCATTCCCTTGATTCAAAACAGTATTCATGTTGGCAATAATAAAGCACACTGACAATTAATATTAAAGTTATCAAGATAACTGGAAATTTTGATAGAATTTCAGTTTTTCGACTGGTCTTCATAATTATAACAAGCATTCTCAGTCCTTTTGAGAATAACAAACTATGAAAGGAACCAAGATTATAGTTGTTGAACTTGACATGATGCTGTCTGAAGGTAATTGGTTAGGGAAACTTTGATAATTTCAGACAAATAATGACCAGGTTGGACATTCAAAAGAAAACAATAATTTTTTCTTTGCCTCTCATTGAAGTGATCTTTTGGCTTTTTACCAATTTACAGACATGGTTTTTCCCCAGAAGGAAAAGATATACATGAACTTGACATCACAGTTTTATTACCTTACTTGACACAATCAGACAATTTTTCCTGGTAATTTAACTCACTGACTACCAACAATTTTGCCTGAACGAACTCTAGCAACCAGCCAAACTGAATGGTATATTTTTTAATTCATACTGTCCATACTTATTGAAACATTTGTGCGAAACTTGCATTCTGTAAGAAACAAAAATGAGATATCATTACTTTGGAATGGAGTTCTGAGCTTTTTCATATTACTTCGTTTATTTTCAAATTTTATTTGATCTATGTTTAGTAGCTGGACTAGAAATTCTTTTACTGATATAACTTATTCAGAGCTAATTTTAATGAAGATGCACTATCAGTCATAGAATGAGCCTAACTGAGGATCTTCAAGTTCAAAATTGCTACAGCTAGCCTATTTCCTTTTCTGCTTTCATCGGCCAAGAAATGTCCCTTGGATTGTGTACTGGTTAGTAGTTTTAAAAGATCATAACTTAGGGACATTTTGTGTAAAAGTAAAAGAGTTAAAATTTCAGTTTGAAATAACGGAAATGGCTGCAGTTTGGTTCACTGAACCTACTGTAACAACAGTTGTGCTACTGTAATGGGAAATCTCTTCATAAGCTCACTATCACAGGGAGGGTGATGTCGAAAGGTAGACATTGCCAAGGGGGGAAAAAAAGCTAAATTTTGCGATGATGGTAGTCGGTGAGATAGAGCATATATGTGTTTTGCATGTTGTAATTAATATTGATTACTGCTAAACTATTAGCTGTAGCTTTGATTTCTCTTTTGTCTTTGATGTGTCCTCTCAACCTCGAACCTTTTGTTTCAGACTGGTGAGGGCACCCCAGGCGCCACCGGTTTCTTCGAGGTAACAGTTGCGGGAAAATTAGTCTTCTCAAAGAAGGTAAGACTGGTTTGGCTTTTTTTAATGTCTCAACCAGGGAAAAAAAGGATTCATTGTGTAGAAGCACTGGGAAATCCACAAATGTTATTTCTGTTGAATCGGAATTGACATTGAATTCTTTATTGGTAACAATGTAATTTAATAAATTTCATTCTCAAAATGTTTTATGAAATTGATTTGGGAGACATTTTGGTTTGAAAGTGAACAACTTCCTTGGTAGTATTGTAAAAAAAAACAACAACACTTTGTGAAGTATGGTGATAATATGTGTTGTTGCAATGTTACGGCTGTTTTTCCCTGGTTGAGACGTTAAAATGAGGTTTATCTTGAGATGAGCTAGTAGCTTGTACACTTGTAAGGCATGTTTTTGCTTACATAATGTTTTTTGAGAAATTATGCGGATGGATGTTGAATAACCTGTTTGTGGTTAGTTAACTTTGTATAGTTTTTCTTTTTTGTTTTTGATTTAGCAGTTTCAATTTTATAGAACTTGTGAATACAATTTACCTGAAATACTGATGCTGTAAGTGATATATACCATACCTGAAAAAGGAATCATGATGACAGGGAAGTGAATGTACCCATTGTTTTAGGCATGTAAGAAATTACTTGAAAATGTCAGCAAAGAGGGTTGAGGAAAGTGATCGGAAAGGAAAATATGTTTGTTGATAATATGAGTAGTTTTTGCCTATTTCCAATTTTCATGTTTACGAATTTATGAGAAGATTGTGTAGATTGCTTGGGGCTGTATGAAGATGAAGGTTAAAGAGATTGGCGGGGGGGCTTTCGTGGCCACGAGGTTAAGGTGTTCCCCTCTCATTCAAAGGTTCTGCGTTCGAATCCGGGAAGCAACGGGAAAATTTTCTTCTAACTTTAACATTTTCTCCTTTCACCGCCTTTCCTGTCTACCAGTGTTCTGTCGTCTGCTTTCGTCTCCACTTTCTGCCCCCATCACCTCACCCCCTTTGCCCCCTCCTCTGGGCTCCTGACTCTTTCTGCAGCCTTTCTACTTCTACTCCCTGGCTCCTTCTTACTGCTGTCTTTCAGCCACACCCCTGATCTTCTGGTAGGAAAGATCTACACCTAGCCTTCTCGGATAAGGGTGAAAAATGTCGGAGGTCCCGTCTGCAAGTTGTGCATGTTAAAGATCCCTTCTTGGTCTAAAATCGATAAGAGTAGGCTTCAGCCGCCACCTTGGCAAAATTCAAAATTTCCTACCTACTGAAAACGTTTAATGTGTCCTGCGCGCTCATATAATAATAAATAATAATAATATATAACATTTATATAGCGCATTTCCAAAAAAAGTAGCTCAATGCGCTTTACATTGGAATACCCATTTTCCAAAAAACTTTCTTAGTACTTCCTTTCTTCTCATGCAATACATTAATGCACAAACATACACACACACACACACACACACACACACACACACACACACACACACACACAGACTATTTTCATCCAGACATAGGAACAGAACAACTATAATGAAAGATAACGTTAAAAGCTTATGAAGGATAGGCCTGTAGGAACAGAAAATGTTTAAGATGTCTTTTGAAGCTATCAAGTGTTTTTATTTGTCTTAGTTTCATGGGTAATCTGTTCCACATAAATGGACCAAGATATGAGAAAGATCTCTCTCCATATGATTTGTATGATTTTACAGGTGTCACAAGTAGGGTGTTATCATTTGATGATCTTAGGTTTCTCCCTGGTTTATATATACTGATAAGTTCTTGTAGATAAAAAAGGAGCAGTTTTATTTACACATTTGAAACACGTGATGCAGATTTTAAATATTATTCTTTCTTTTACAGGGAGCCAATGCAGTTCTTTTAATAATGGAGTGACAGGGTCACGTTTTTTAGATCTTGTTATCAGTCTAGCGGCATTGTTTTGAATTACCTGTAAACGATTCAAATATTTGTTGTTCAGAAGGAGTGAGTTACAATAGTCTAATCTAGATAGGATAAGAAATGTTACCAGTGTTTTTGTGGTCTCTTCGTTTAAGTACTTTCGAACTAGGCCTATCCTTCTCAGCTGAAAATAAAGTGATTTGGACAGAGATCCTACAAACGAGCCCATTGATAAGTGGTGGTCAATATATACACCGAGATTCCTGACAACATGTTTACTAGATGTCATATGCCCATATAAATCAAAGTTGACACTTTCCAGATCTTTATTTAATCGTGGATTTTTTATCTTGAATGGTGCCATTAACATACATTTGGGAATCATCGGCATAAAAATGATAATTCAATCCATGATTTTGTAAAATGCTTGCTAAGGGCTGTGTATATAGTGTAAAGAGCACTGGTCCAATGACTTATGCAGTTGCAAGCGCCATACAACACTAACAAACAAAAAAAAGAAAAGATTGGCTTTTATGAAATATGTTGCAACAGTTATATACATGTTTTTTTTTCTCCTCTTAGAATGGTGATGGCTACCCCGATAGACCTCAGAAGGTTAACAAAATTGTGAATGCCATCCAGTCAGCCTTGTAGGCACCCTATGCAGCTTGGCATCTCAGGTAAGAACCCTTCAAATAAGTAGTTGAAACTACTTTCTTCGATTCTGTGGAAGGGGAGTGTGCACTAAACTTGTTGTTTAGCTTTATAAAATTTTTGTTACGCTAATTGGCCTTTGTTGGCTTATCTTTCTTTCTTCTGTATTAAATCCCGTTACATTAATCTTTGTGATTGTGGACTTTTCTAAAAAAAAACAACTGGAGAATTATTTTTTTTTTGGTCTTATCACAAAGGATTTTCATCATCTGCAAAGTATCAGATTCAAAATAGGTCAGGGTAGGTCTAGAGAAAGCTGTTCAGTTGGGTGACGAGGATGAAGAAAACAGAATTGGTGCTGATCAGTATACCAATCTTGACCAAGCAGAAACTTGTTATAGGTCTAGCAACAACGTCTGCTATTGGAATAGAGACTTAATTCTGTAATCTGAATTTTGCTGTTTGTTTCATATTTTTATCATGCCTGGTAGCTTTTGCATTTATCGTTGATGCTATGATGGAACCATGCTAACTCAAATTTTGGCAAAAATGTATTTTGGCATCAAAAGATTTTCTATACCATGATACAAAATGTATATAACATAAATGTTAGATCCAGATTCAAACAGAAAATGCTCGAAAATGTACTTTAAAGTATGCACGTAACTCGCTATCTATCACAGCGACATAAGTGATCCGTTGAACCTTACTAACGCGATATAACGTGGTTCCATCAGAGCACCGGTCGATCATTATGGGTCAGTGAACCTCAGTACAGAATTCTCTGCCTAAGATCGCGATGCTTTGGAGCAAGGAAAATGCAGGATATTAGGCTAACAGGATTTTAACCGACGCACCAAGGAGAGAGCCCACAGTGACTCATGTTCAGGTCCACAATCGGTGAAATGGTCTGGCTTTACTCTGACATGAACTGAGTCTACAAACTCTTGAAATTAATATCCCTGCAATTTCCATATATATTTCACTGCAAGTAGTATGTAAGGTGCCGTATGAAGTTCTATTAATGAAGTAAATATGTAACAAAGGCAAGAAAGGGTGTGATAAAGTCATGTGTCAAGTTGAGATGTGAATATTTAGTTTTTTGAGGATTAAGGTTAAGGATTCTCAAGTCTGGTCTTTTATATCCATAGGTCTTATTCATCATGTTGTTTCAAGGCCATACCCTTCATGCCTTCTGTTTGTTTCATTTCCAGGTCTGTTCACTTGAACAACAGCAGAGGATGACGTCCGCATATGACTGTACTTGATTAAAGACAATAACTTTGTAAAGGTCAAGGTCACGATTTTTCTCAGATGGTCTTCTCTGCATTGGTTTGACTGCTCAGGTGTGATTGATGTAAAGCTGCAGTACCTTTATTTATGACAGGATCACTATTGGTACATCTTTGTAACTTAAAATAGGGTTCTGTCCAAACGTTTCTTCTTTTATTCTCATGTCTATGCAGTAGAAGTGTTGATATTAATTTTTTTGGGGGGGGTAGTTTTTAATACAATCTTTTCATAATGGGGAAGATTCTGTTCCAAAATCTTAAAAGATAAAATTTGGTTTGGCTCATGCTCTGCATTAGATAAACCTTCCACAAGAAATTTTGAAGTTTTATGATTTAAATAAATGATTATATGAACTAGCCAAAGTGCAAAATGAAAAAGTGAAATATGAACAAGCAAAAGTGTAATGAAAGACTTTAATGAAGGCTTATTTTTAGTAAAGCAGCCATAGTAACAAAGTTATGGCAGTGACCATTTGATTGATACATACATGATACATATTGTTGAGAATTTCACTACTTTTTTTAAATTATTTTTTTTTCTCCATTTTTATTAGGTTTCTTATTGAGTAAAGAGATGTTCTTGTGGCTAATTACAATACTCTTCCGGCTATTTTACCATGCTCCTCGTTTTGTCACTAAAGATTTTTTAAAATGTCAGTGGACCTAGTTTTTTCTCTTTTGTATTTCAAAAAATTGAATTCAACATGGAAATTCCCTTTTGTTATTGCATTGAGACTTCACATGTGAACTGCTTTTCTAATCATGACAGTTCATTAAAGAATCTCTTTTGTCCATCGGGTAGTTCAGATTTTCCTAGGAATATTCTCTCCCTGCTTCTTTCATTGATCTCTTGTTTGTACTTTTATGTTACCACATTATTGCAATTGCAATGCACAGTGCTATTTACATCTTTGTTGTTTCAGTTGTGTGAACGGTCAAGAGTAGTTCCTTTTTATTTAACCAACTAGCATAATTTTTGTAATTCTTGTGGACAATATCAGGGTATCACTTGGAAATTATAGAAGGCACCGTGCACTTGATTCCCATAGAGAAAATTTTATCATGACATTTTGTGCACTTAGATCCTATTCTTGATTTAGTGAGAGTTTTTGTGCCACGCCTTCATTAGATCTTTTAAAGTAATGTATTGATGATTTCTGTGGTGATGCGAAACTTATCAAACCAGGAAGTACGTTGATTCTGACCAGGGGAATTAAGTTTGTTACCTTAAATTTGATCCAGAAAAGCTTTGAAAAAGTTACAGCATTATTCCATAAATGAAGTTAGTTCCCCAAGAAAGGGTTTTTTCTAGAATATAAAATACCCTGATTTGTGTGAAGGAATATGGATGTGTGTCTTTAATGAGTGAGACACTTTCTCTTCTTTGTTTTGTAACTGCAATAGTGCTCCTTTTCTTTTGCGTTGTGAAGAAAGATTGCCTCAACTGTTGTTGTTTTTTCTTGGAGAAAGTTATTGTACAAGTACTGAAAGTACTCATGTCTAGATCACTGACAATGGAAGGGGGTTTATGTGTGAGTGGGAAGAAGACATGTGGATGTATGTGTGGAATATTGATGGATAGTATCAGAAAAGGAAGAATGGATCAAATATTATTTGTTTGAAGAAACAGCTTTTGTGTTTGAGTTAGTGAAAAAGAAAAATCATCTGTGTCTTTCGATTTATATGTCAACAATTATTTTTAGATTGACCAGTTCAGTCATGATTAAGGTAAAATGTTGGGTCTGAGATCTATGAGTACCAAGTCTTTGGTCAGTCCTGGTAAAGCTTGTTTTTATGTTTTGTTTTTCATTGAAATTTATGTTCTCCCATCACTCACCATTTATCCTCACATTGTCAATAAAGGCGTGAAAAAAATGTTGACAACCATGGAATGTATTAGTTCATTTATACTTTTTTTCCGAAGATATGTGGAGTCCTCTTGAACTGAACATGGGTTTAGTTTGAAAACAGTTGTAAATGGAAAGAAAGTAAAATACTCAGTTTTCTTTCTTTCTGTTTGGGCAACCTTTCTAAAATGGAAAACCTAGCTAAACCAAAGAAAATCCATTGGTCCCATAAATTTAGGTTTAAGCAGACCCCACTGTATGTTGTCATTGTTGTGTTTGTTCGTCTTGACTGAAGTATTTGATTATTTTTATAGACAAAATTTTGAAGCACCAGTCATTATATTGTGTTGTTGGTCAATATTTAGCTTCTGCTGTTAAGAAATTTTCTCAAAATTGGAGACAACTGACAACTATTTTTAAAAAAACAACCTGAGATGTCGTTTGAGAACAATTTTATTTTTAAAAGAGCACATCAACTCTAGGGTGTTATTCCTTGGTGCAGATCTGGGAAAAAGGTGAACATTAAAAAAAAATATATATATGGATAAGAAAGCAATAAACTTTCTACTGATGATGTGAAATCATAGTAAGTTATAAGTAAGACTCGTACTGGCTCACCAACCCTCCATAATTTATAATTGTATAGGATAAGGACAGAACTTCCCCATTGACACTGTTAAAATGTTCGAGTACTCAGGTGTGTATTGCTCCTTCCATTTTCAGAGCTGTTTTCCCATTGTTAGAAACAATAATAATAATCCCTGATAATAATTGTTTGCTTTACAGCATGCTCTATGCATTTTTTTACCTTAGCAGACCATAGAAGAACACTCAGAAACATTCTAGGCCTCCCGGGAAGCATACTGTGCAAGCTGCGGATTTCACGTGCTCAAACACTACCAAACTGACAAAATTTCACTGTCTTTTTTGTCTGGTACCCATTTCCACCTCAATGAAGAGGGGAAAATTCATGTAAGGTGCCTTTCCCAAGTACACTATGTAAGACCCCTGACGGGATTCGAACCCAAGACCTTATGATTGTGAGTCCGAGAACCTTACATTCTACTGGGAAGAGTATGGTATACTGTGCAGAGCACAACAAAATGTAAGGAGTAAAAAGACTCAACCTGTACCGTCTTATAAATCAGTGCCAGACCTGAACCCTTACCAAACCCCAAGAAAGCAAAATCATAGCACAGCATGGTGAAACTTCCTCAGGAAGATTATAAACAAGACAAGACTAGACAGGGTTCGTAATCTCGACAGCCTTCCGAGAAATACTGGGTAGGCCTACCATACCAGATTACCAGTTCAACAACACATTGAAAAGCAAACAACAACCACAACAAACAGACGGCTGGTTTGGTCACCCGACTTACACTTGCATGTCTATCAACCAGCCTGTCCTAATACAATATATAGCTTACCAAACCTGAAGACCCGGTTGTAGAGCGAGAGGAAGAGCCAGGAGAGGATCGATGGAGCGAGCAAAAGGCATCTTAAATAGAAGTTACTGATTTCCAGCTCTAGGAAGCTTGCCACTTTACACTTTCTACTCTTAAAATTCATGTAAATCTACACTATTTGTAAGCCTGTCTACAGCGTGCTTTATGCGTCGAACCGTAAGCCATTGCACAAATAGACCAATGTTTTTATTTTAAATTAATGGAAAACGCAATTCGAATGCAAAGTAATATTTTTAAAACAACACTCACACACTATGGTCACACGCGCGCGCGCGTACTCACATACATTCACGCGCGCATGCGTGATTTAAAGACGCAAAAGTGAAATATCAATAATGTCTGGGGGGGGGGGGGGGGGGGGGGTTCTTTCCACTTACTTCATGTTAATTCTTTCTAGAACATTTTGTTACCAGACAGTTTCATTTTCTTGATTTATTCAGTTCAGCGTCACCGTTATTAAACAACATTTTTTAAAAGTGCGGTAAAAAATTCGTGGTGCAACTTATCCTCAAATATCTCTGTAACGGGTGAATCAGTGTCATCCATAATTTGCATAGCAGTTTGTATCAATTTGTCTTAACTAAATCATATTTTTCTAGAATAATTGGGGCTGTATAAAATACTTGAAATCCCACGCGTAAAATGGTAGTCTATTGTTCACAGCACTTCTCACACACATTTTTATTACGCATACGTCACAGCTCATCAAAGACAATTTTTACTTGCAAAACTTGTTACAAAAAATTATTGTTATAGTGAACACATTTTTACACTATGGCTCTCAAAACATGCGTTCAATGAGCATAATGTCCCGATTAGAAAAACCTGACGGACTTGCTATTAAAAACTATATTGCCCCAGCTGTAATTGTAATCATTTAAAAATCGGTAGAAACCACCCGCTTGGGTTTTCTTTTTATTAGATCTAGTATTTATTAAGGGATTTTCTAGAATACAGCAGGTGTTTACAAAAATGTTGATCTGTTAAGAAAAATTGATACAATAAGTCACTTGGAGAATCTAGGTTCGATGTGGAGATATTTGAAAATAAGTCGCACCACGAATTTTTTACGGCACTATACGACATGTATTTAGAAGCTATAGGCTTTCATCAACAAGAGCTCAACCACAACAATATTCAGTCATGTAATTAATTATATTATGCAATAATCTCCAGAGATTGCATACTTGTAGAAAGACAAAGCCACTCGCTAAAACATGGCTATAACACATTTATTCTTTATTTTTCTTTCTTTCCACTTACTTCATGATTATGTCTAGAACTTTTTGTTATCAGACAGTTGTTTTTCCCCCGGATTTATTCAGCGTCACTGCCATGAAACAACATATTATTTAGATGTACAAATGTAGGCTTTCAACGAGTTGTAAAAAGAGCCCAAACACCGCAATATTCAGTCATATAATTAATCGATATTCACCGTTTATTTATTTGTTGTCTTTTTCTTCAGTTTTCAATCAGTTTCGTCTCGCTGATGATGAGCAATGGAATATTCACCCGTGGCTGTGCTTACTTGCAGAAAGTTGGCGACTATCGCTAAAATAGTGCCATAAAATCATCGAGTTTCAACACTTACAAAAATAATTACATGTATCTATTATCTATTTGTGGTGGCCGATTTTGCTATTCAAACGGCTTTTTAATGGCTGCATCGATGGACATGCGGTTTTCACCAAAAGATTCTTTAAAATATTCTCCAGATCATGACGCCCTTCGTTTTTTCAGTTTTGTGACAGTTTCGTTGAAAAAAAGCTAAATTTCTTTATTTCGCCGATCGCTTTTGTAGGCCGACGCTTCTGTCTCGGTAATTTTATAAAAGGAGGTTTCCGAGTTTCCGCTAACTAACCGTGCGCACTGTATATATATATATATATATGTGTGTGTGTTTGAGTGTGTATGTGTGTGTGTGTGTGTGCGTGTGCGTGTGTATGTGTATGTGTGTGTGTGTGTGTGTGTGTGTGTGTGTGTGTGTGTGTGTGTGTGTGTGGGAGGAGAAAATAATTATCTTTATCGAGTACCTCAGCCTTTTTGCTAGGATGTTGTATCCCTCTCATCCTGGGTTGACCCTGACAGGCCCGCTTCCTACATGATCTAACTTGTGTCGACGAGGACGTAAAATACACCTACATTTAAAAAAAAAATCAAAAACAAAACAACAACAACAACAAAATATCACTGAACAATATCATGTGAACATGGTAATATAGGTTTAAACAATAGTTCATCTGTCAAAGGAGTGTGCTTTATTCAAAAAGGGGAAGAAAAGAAGAAGGAAAGGGATGTTGGGGGTGGGTTCTATTGTGCATTGCGTCAATGAGTTTCTGAAACTTTGCAGTCCGCCTTGTTGTGCTTTATGTCAATGAGGCTCTGTATCAGTGCATTTCGTACAATGGTGTAGGACGTCAATGTATCAATGCAGTAACTGCATTGTGCTTGACGTCAATGTATCAGTGCAGTCCTTCCCGGGCGGGAATAATCTTCTCCAGGGCCCTGGCCACGCCGAGAACGGTAGTCTCATCGTACTTCCGGCCCACGATCATGACGCTGTCCGCCTTCCCGTCGCAGAGTTTTCCAAGAGGCAAGGTCAAGGCCGGATGACCAGTCAGGTCGGTGGGTGCAGTGTTGGCACACATGTCGAGGGCCACCGTCAAGTACTCTGATGAGGGAAATATACGACCAGTAGGAGTAATGAAAATCCGAAGCACTGTTCTGGGTTCTCTAAGTTTGAGGAGAAATGTAGACCCATCCTTGATTTACATTTATTATGTTTAATGTGTCCCGCTCGCTCAAATGACCTTAAACAGTTGTGAGCGCAGTTAAAACCCTTTCATAAATAAATAAACATACATTTATTAATAATACATGTAAGGGAGATGCAAATATCTCAGTTCATATCAAACCTTCAGTTCATATCAAACTGGACTACAGCGCTGGCTGTTCAGGTTTGAATTTGCATTGCTTCGGGAGGGGGTGAGGTTTTGGTCTCTGTCTGCTAGGCTTGCATATACCGACGTCGGGCTGTAGGAAGATTATCGTGCAGTGTTGAAACGGCGTTAGAAGGTACATTTACTATTCAAAACCAAGCTTGAAATAAGGATATCCGATTTCTACTCAATGAGGAATCAATTTGGTCGAAGACGTTTCAGGTTAAGATATTTGTTTGATGTACCCCGCTCTCAAATATCCACCGTCGTTATCTGTCCTCGTTCGTTTCTTAGTATGTTACTCTCTGGTAACGGTTCTAATCTTCGGCATATGTATGATCTATGTGCTGCAAATGCCCTAAAACTACCTAGAACTAAACTAAATCTGATCAGAGATGAATCCGTAAAAGAAGCAGAGATTAGCCGGGAAAGTAACATGTTTCCTATTAAATTAGATAAAAAGCTGTACACAGCCGCGGAAAAGGCGTGTCGCGTCCCGTAACTAAGATTCAGTAAATCTGATCTTCGGTCTTCTAGACCAATGATCTCACCGGAAGTGGCTTGTGCGTCCTTGTTGCTTCCTTCCGGAAGTCCAACGGTTGGGTGAGTCAATGTGGGCATGACGATAACGTCACACTTCTTCAGAGCTTCGTCATACTGGGCGGTAAGCTTGATGACCAGGTTCCGGCACTTGGTGGCGTAGCGGTTGCCATGACGACGTTTGGTGAACTCCCCTAGCATAGTGAGGTACTTGGCGTTTGGGGAGAGGAGAGAGGCGGAACTCTCTCGGCCCTGTCGGACAGCTTTCTCAAGGCTTGTGGAGCTGAAACCCTTCACGTGCTGGGCACAGGCTAGGAGGAGAAAGAAAGAGAGAGGGAAATAGACATAGAGTTAGGCATGCTGTGTTTGCGTGTGTGTCTATGGGTGGTGTGTGTGTGTGTGTGTGTGTGTGTGT